CTCCAACCTAGGAGCGATGGCCTCCAAAGAGCGATGGCCTCCAACCTGAAAGCGGTGGCCTCCAACCTACTAGCGCTGGGGTTTAGTCACCCGGGTTTGCAGAAAGTCACCTGGCCGCAAGTAAACGCAGCATTAGTCAAAAGTCACCCGTTTTATGTTAAAACACAATGTAAATGCTCTACGGAAGTATGTTTGTCAAAACTGCTATACATCAAGAATTCACTGCCCCTGTGCAGGAAAGAACTAGATTTATGTCGAAGTTTGCAGCGTTTTGGTGACCAAACCCCAATCAGAACGCAAGGTCAGGACTATCGTGAAGATTAGCCCCTAAACATAGATTGCCTGCACCTAAACCACATCTAGACTCTAGACGCAGCATCCAAACAATGTTGTTGACCTGACACTCTTCCAGTTATATTGCCATCTTGCATCTAACCCCATTGCAAACGCAGCATCCAGACGACTTCTACAAGACCAGACGACTTAACACAAGTGCTAGTAGGAGCGATGGCCTCCAACCCAAGAGTGACTCCCTCCAACCTCCCACGAGCGATGGCCTCTAACCTAAGAGCGATGGCCTCCAAACTGAAAGCGATGGCCTCCAACCTAGGAGGGATGGCATCCAACCTAAGAGCCATAGCCTCCAACCTGAAAGCGATGGCCTCCAACCTAGGAGCGATGGCCTCCAACCTGAAAGCAATGGCCTCCTCGCCCCAATAAATGACCACCCACACTGTTTACACCCTCTTTTTGCCGAGGAACTCTGTAGAAGTCCAAGGACAAGCCCTCGCTTCGATAAGCCTTTTCCTGGCAAAACACATAGGGGCCAAAATGGCCAAAGGCTTCGCAGAAGCTTTAAGCGTGGAATATATTATTCCTGGCTGTTGAATAGTAACTTGAGGCAACAATCCCCATCGTTTCATAGTTTCATATATTCTATGTGATATCCCTTGGTGGATTGATGACTGTTGCTATGTTTGAGAATTCATGAGACATTTGATCTGAGATTTGCCTCCGAAACCTTCGGACGCCTGTGATCACATTAATTGGTGAAGGTACCAGCTGACCTCCAGAACCGAAAATCGCTTCGATCGGTGAGACTTGGATCGTCAGCTCGGGCTCCATTTCACATGTCCCAGGCGGACCACCCCCTCACAGCTTTTCGTCCTTGTACGTTTTATACTTCACGAAGAAGGCCCAAAACACACGCTGCAAGGATCGGAAAACACGTGATGCTCATTGATGCTCGATGTTTGGGGCATGCCGACCTCCAAACAAGGATCCCTTCCCGTTGCTTCCCGTCCCGGCGACCGACCGTTCATCCGACCAGCTGGGGGTTGGATCGGTCCTGCACAGTGGCTGAAATGAACATTCCAGCAGAGCCTTGATATCCCATGTTGCCCAGATTCCTGGCGATGGCGGCTCAAGGCGATGGAGAAACGCATGCGTTTTTGGGTGGAGAAGCGGCGCCGTCTTTTGATTGATCCAGAGCGAAGCCGACCAGAGCTTCTTTTCAATGAGGCGGCGCTACGGCTTTTGTCTTCTGTGTCACCGAGGATTCTCGACACTCTTTGGGGTTCAGCTTCCGGCCGCTTGCGGCTTGTCTTTGGGCATTGGGCGTTGTCTTTGGCTGGCTTTTTCGCAGAAGTGACACCGGCATGAAACCGTGTCTATCCGTTGTTTTTGGTCAGCAATACCACACACCGTTTGCCTCACCGTCTTCTCATCTGTTCACAAGATCCTTAGACCCTGGAGTCACACAACATCCTGCGGATCTGCTCAGTGTCACACGTGCGTGGCCCGCAGTTCAGTAGAAGCACCATGAATTCAAAAGCCTTCACCCAACAAACCATTGTTTTACAATGTTTTACAACGTCTCTTACACTCTTACACTACAAAAACAGTTCAGTCTATATTCATGGTCGAACGGAAGGCGAGGGCCGGGACATCGATCGGGACGTCCATGTTTTCATCTGTTCCATCGGCGTCGCGACCGCGCTTCACGAGCGCAGCGCATCCTGGGAGCAAAGGATGGAGAGTTTCGCTGAAGCTCGTCCCACTCTGTTTGATATCCTGCGCCAAGCAGTGTGTCTTCCGCCCAATCACGGAAAGACACCAGTCTCGGAACCAGGCAATGGGTCTCGGAAGACGAAGAAATCCGTTGGCGACACAGTGATTGCATTGCGATGCATTGCTCTCTTTCCACAGATCCTTTGAGCCTTTCTTGTGGCAAAATTGTGAACCATGGTCTTCAAGTCTTATTGCGAGACTAGCTAGAGGTTCTCCAGATCCCAGTGGTCTACTGGAAACCCAAATCTACTCACCCGAGCTCAAACCATGGATTTCATGCTCCTCCCCCAAAAACCAAACCCACGTGGTGGCCCAAAAGAGAAGTACATGGCCGAACCTGGAACCCGAAGCCGGTTTCACGATATGCACAACGACAAGTCTCGAGACTACGAGGACCAAGCCTGGAGGTGTCGACGTTCACCAATCCCAAACCCGACTCATGGGACTGAGGACAGCCACATGTGTCGCCCCGACCCCCCTGGCACCATGATCAGTGGGGATCGGCATTTCCAACACCCATCAGTCGTGTCTTTCACTTAGAGCCACGTGCCGAAGTGTGACTCCTGAGGTCCAGCCCTCCACGCTGATGTGCGCACGGGTCTGCATCTGATCGCCGCATCTCCGGTTGGAACTGTCCGAGGGCCTAGGTTTGGGCAGCGATAGGGCCCACGAAGAAACGGAACAGATTGGATGCTTTGGGGACCTGACCATTCTATACCATTTGGGGTGGTAGAATTGGCTAATTACAAATAGTCAAGAGTCAAGATCATCATCTGAAAACTCTGGAAGGAGTTTCTTTTGCTACCAACACCCAATTATATAGAGCTTGATCCACCATGCAAGGGTCGGTACAGACAAAGAATTCATACTTTTCTATGAGGTGATCCTTCACATTTCCTGAAAAAATATCTTCCAGCAGGGAAAACAACACTTATCTGATATATTTGTGGTCCGACCGGGTGCCGGGTCTTTCCATGATGGACTGTTTCACATCGAAGCACAGGATCCAGGTGATCATAAAGTAGATTCCTGGAGTCCAATGGAGGCCCCTTAGTGGTGTAGGGGCTTCCAGCCAGGTGACCCCTTTGAAGGTGCTGGTTGACTATTCTGGACAAGTTGATTCATATGTGCAAAAGAGGAATTTGGAGGACCTGCCCGTGCTAGATGTGCAAAGATGGTGAAATATGGACCCATTGAGCTCTTTCAATGTGTCAACGATTCACGTCAGGTCCTTGGAGCATTTCATCGAAGCCGGAGGTGCCAGGGCGCCCTCCCGTTGGTCCGGTGTCTTGTTTTCCTTTCCGAGGAGCTGGAGGCAACCTGCCAGGGCGTAGAAGGCATCGGACGTGAGCTTGCCGTCAATCATCCTCTTCACTTTGTAGCCAAGCTTCTCCTTTCACAGCGAAGCCCGGCTTGCGATGAAGCGGCGCCGGTGCGGGTGAACACCTACTTGGCTGGGTAAAAAATGAAAAAAGGGCGCCAGCAGGTGTTGTCTGTATTCCACTCTACTGTTCAAGGAATCTATTTCCACGGCGGAGAGGGTCTTATCCTACTTTCGGAAGGCCTTGCTCACTAGCAAACACGTGATTCAAGTTTCAAAATTCAGGGAACTGCCGTGGCCCAAAGGCCTTTCCTGTTCATCTTACATGCTGGCTTCCCGGTCACTTGCGTGCCACAAGCGCCAGCATGAAGAATGACATTTCTGCCAACAACCTATTTGAGTCGCTCCTAGCAGAACCTGCTTGCAAATGCTTTTCCACCGGCTTCACCCAGTTTTTGTGCGGCCAGCCTTTGGGAAGCTGGCTGGCAGCCTGTACCCATGCTTTCCCAAACGCGACCGGACTCCTGGAGTAAGATCGCAACCAATTCCGCCGTGGCGTGTTGAGCAGCGTAGTCGACCAGAAAAATCCCAACTGGGTAGCTTTCGGTTCCGTTGGACAACTCCTTCCGCCTAAGTGGCGTGTTGCGATCGAACATGCGGGGGCCCCGTATCGGACTGGGAAAGAATTGAAAGGAACATGGACGCAGCACAAATACCTCTTTGATCTTTATCTCAATGTTGGCCAGGCTGGTCACTTGAAGAAAGGTCCCTGTCAGGCGTTAGACAATTTTCTCCAAGAAATGTGGTCACACTTGGCGTTCTTGCTGAGTTTGATCGAGGGTGCAACGGCATTAAAAGCTAGCGCAACACATTCATGCTTCGATGTGCACTTCGACCGCATAGTCTCACACAAACTGGCGGGCTGGAGCGGGTGCTTTCCTCGACTGGCTCTTGATTGTCACTTTTCGTGGCAAGCTCAAGGGGATCAACCCTCGTGTTTTGGTCGTCTGAAGTCGACTTTTTGTGACAGGCGCAGCGCTTTGGACTTGTCTTTGGCATGTTCTGACTTCTTGGCGGGTGCAGTGAATTGGGAACTTTAGACATGTGGCTCGTTTCTGGACACTGGGAGAAGTATCGTGCCATAGCTTCGTTTTGGGATCTTGAACTTGTCAACTTGTCTTTGGAAGTTTTTGTGTCGTGAGACGCAGTGGCAGGGCTGCACGATGTGAATGTTGATGTGCAGATTTCGTAGCAGGTGCAGCACTTAATTTGTCAACCTAAAGATCTTCACAGTGCAGACTTCGTGGCACGCGCAGCACTTGTGAACCTCACTTCACAGATTTCGTAGCAGGCAAAGCACTTGGTGAAGCTCGCTGCCACGTTGATCGAAGAGTACGCTGGAGATGGTTCCTTTGTCTGACGAAGGCGGCTACAAAGTGCAACTCACCTTTGTTCTTCACGATGAAAAAATGTTGACAATTGCTTTGACCGGGAAAGTCCCAACAAAGGCCCAGCAATAGTTCAGATAGCGCCAACAACGGTGCTTTTCATGGAGTCAGCGGAGAAAAAAATACCAGGGCACGGTTCATTGCAACGTTGCTCTTGTGGGCAACCCAGAGTTTTGAATTTGCCACTTCAATGAAGTTCTTAAAAGAATCATTGAGGCATGTCATCTTTGAATGTTCCTGCAGCTGAAAGGATGCTGCGGAAACACCAATTATGATTTGTGTCGGTAGGGCGGCGAAAGATCAACAGCACTTTGTTTTGTGTGAGTCATTGATGTGCTTACTTTTCTGTCTGGCAAATACACGCCTGAAACAACTGCCCGCAGTTAATCTCAACTTGCCCCTAAGTATTCTCAATATATGATGTGACTAGAAGGTGTCGGACTATTTTGTTTTAATATCTATGTTCTATTAAGCCAAATGATGTTGCAAGTTGCAAAGGAAGCGTCGCGGGCCCTAAAAATTTCCAATGTACATAATAATACTGTTTTTTGGGTAGACACCTGTAAATACCATTGTTGAATGAGTAGCAATCCCTTCCAGCTCATGAACAAGTATTTGCCTTGGTCAGAATGCCAATTTGACAGTTCAGGGTTTGGGTTTTGATCCTGCTTCAATGCACTCCATCAGTCATCTATTTCTTTTTAATATACTTACTTTTTGAAACATACTGCGGTCACCTGGGTTTCTCTGGCCTCCAAACCTATCCTTGAAGAACTGTAAGCTGGACAGTAAGCTGGACTTTTCAGTTTTTTTTTGCTTAGCAAAAAGCTTCCTTGCAGTTGTTTGCCAGATTCAGGGTTCCATTGGCGTCAGGTAGTTGGTTCTACACAGCGAGTTGTTGTATTATAACCTAGAACCTGACTGTCCACATATTATCACATACCCCCACGGGGAAGCTAGTATTTCGATCGCACACACCAGTTTATATCATTCTATGAACCTTGCGGCGCAGACTTCGTGGCAAGTGCAGCAGGTTGATTTGTGAAGAGCGCTGCTCAATTTTCGTGGCAGGGGCGCATCCCTCCATGAATCTCGAAATGCAGATTTCGCAGCCAGTGCAGCACTCGTTGTGATCCTTGAAGTGCAAACTCCTTGGCAGGAGCAGTGGTTTGTGGGTTTGTGAACACTGCAGGCGCAGCGCTACTTGAACCTCACCTCACGCGCAGATTTTGTGGCCGGTGCACACCTCAAAGTGGTGTCATGTGTGTGCTTTGCTCTCTCTGGTGCTCTCATATGTGCACTCTCACGTGGATTGCTCACATGTGTGCTCTGATGTGTTTGCTCTAGAGTGCTCTTGTACACAATACTTTTTGGGGTCTCTTGCTAAATACTCTTTTATAGCTATGTAGATTCAATTAATTCTTCCAACTCCACTTCATTTTTCACAATCAGCAGTATTTTTCGCCACCAGTTCCAGGTTCCAAGAACGTTTCTCTTGTCACAAGACACGTGCTGTGCAACAATCGACCCCAACAATGACTTGGCTAGGGACAACATGGGACAACTATACAACTATAGGAAAGCTCTGCTCCTGTTTTGCTCCACACCAAGTTGCTCAGCATCTGGGATGCCACCAGGGAGACAAAGTTCGGACGTGACACCAGTTCGGAACGCGAGGAAAGCGGCCGCGAAGATGGTCACACCGACCATGTTCGCATTGACCCGAGAAGGAAAGCCTTCTAAATCATCCTCCCAAAGCTTTTGAAGAGTCTTTTTTGACAGGCAGCTTTGAGCCACGTGGGCTAAGGCAAAATCTTCAGAAGCTTGTTGGTGGCATGTGATGTGAAGCAAAGGGGGTACCCCCCCAAACCTGGGATTCACGGTGTCTTTTGCGAGCAAGCAGGCCAGACTTTCTGAAGTTGAAATTTGCAGTCGTCAAAAGCTTGAATTGAGTGTTGCCTGTAGGGTCTTCTCAAATACACCTTCAACTGGTATGGGTAGCTGAGATTTGCTAAGTCTTTCAAGCACTTTTCGGAAGATTTGTACGGTTGCTTCTGCCCACTGTTGCCAGTTGCAGTGATCTCAAGACCTGACTGGACCAGTAAAGATGGAGCGGTGCGCTTGTCCTTCACCCATTTCCTGTCTGGTGTAGCTGCTTCTCGAAACAAGAGGACCACTTCAGCTCGAGCGGCTCCAACCAACACTCCAAAAACACGGTATGTAGATGACATGTAGTAAACGACAGTGGTCCAGAATACAAAGTAACAATGGCAGTGCTCATATTATTAGGTAATCGATGGTAATCGCGAGACGCAATCCCAAGTATACACAAACCTTGTCTCTCACCATCTCTAGCTGTTGCTCAGGGGAACTCAACGAAGCTGCCCGCTTTGTGGTTCAATCTTCAATATTCACGACAGGGATTGATTTGACGGAAGATCACATGAAGCATCCCAGCCGCTCCACTGCCTTTTCCCACAATTCGGGAGCGTGAAAAAAAAGGCCGTGTCACCAATGACTTCCGGTCGGGAGAACACAGAAAAATGGTTTCGTACTTCGTTCGACCCGGTTGGCAGTTGCCATGGGCAGTCTCAGTCTGTCTATCAGATTGTCTTGATGCCACTGAGGAAGCTCCTCAACTTCTCCAGGCCTCCAATCTCTTCGTCCTCCGCCTCGACCTTGGATGGCAGAACCCGCCCCTCCGCCCAATGAACGCGTATCCCTCGCCGGGGGCGACCAAGAGAGCCATGTTGGCGACCAATAGGGAGAGGCAGTGGCCGGGAGTTGACCGGAAGATTTGCGATGGTGGCAGGTTGGCGACTAGTATGGCCAAGTATGGCATGCACTCACTTTCACCTCCGCCAAATGAAAGTGGGGAAAAGCACCGCCCGGCGGTTCAAGTTCAACTGATTCCAAAAAATTGATGTCAATTGTCAATCAAGCTAGACCTGGGATTTTGTTGACCCTGCTGGCCTCTTTTGCACCAAGAACCGTTAGATCGTTGCGGTGTTGAGAATGTGGCGAGTGAATAATTTAACTCCATACTCCCATTATCGATGAAACTTCGATGGTTTGTGGCCAGGAAAACAGAGTCTTAAACTAGGCCTATGTGGTTCAAATTTCCAGTTTTGACCCGAGCAGCATAGCTCTTCTTCTTGCTCTTCGCTTTGGCCTTGCCCTTTGGGCTCGCACGGCTCGCTGACCATCGAGCACCAGCCACCGTTGGGATCCAGAGTCGTATGCAATTGCATCCAGCTTGACCTCGGATGACACGGAGGAAGAGCTACCATTCCCACGCGACCCATCCCCACTTGGATAAGGTTTCAAATTCATGCGCCCATGCACCCATGTAGGGAGGCCTATTGCAGGCGACTCCACTTCCTTGTCGCTTTGCAGGAATAATCAACACATGTCTAATTATGCAAAACATTTCAAATTGGTAGGCACAAACTCCTCTTACAGGCTGTGGAACATCGTGTTCGATTTTTTCGGCCACACCCTTCCTAGCCCAAACATCCCAGCAACAACGGACACCCCACATCTGACAGCTGACCTGTTGGCCCGCGGCAATGGTGGCGCCGGCAGGGGCGAACCCGGCGCTTCAGGTTTCGATTGCACCGGTCTCCACCGGGGCAAACAGGTGCCACCGAAAGCGAGAAAAGGTGTTGATGCTTGGCACAGTCAGAGCCAGCAGGGCAGGAAGGATTGGGACAGACCGTCTTCGGTAGCTCCAACAAATAAGGTTCCAATGGGATCTGGGCCACCAGTTCCTTAGGCTGCGAGATCTGACAATTTGCGGAGTCCTTTACACCAGGTCCATAATCTTGGGGAAGCCTTCTTGGACTGTTCTACATTGGGTTCTTTCATGTTCTTTCCAGGGCCCTTTGCCAGCAAATCCAATCGAACGAACAGCGAAGGAAAAATATCCCACAGCCTTGATAGACACCATGTTTTCCTGCTCATGCTGGCATTGATCAATTTACCACTTAGATCCAGCAGCGTCAACCAGAAGCAGTTGGTCATCTTGTCGTTTTCACGTGGTTTTTGCCAACTTCTGCGAAGGCTCATGTTGCAAGAGCTGATTGAAACTCTGAATCCTCGATTGGCTTTCGGGCAGCCATTGCTTTGCAAGCTGCTGGCGGAAGCTTCGAAAGGCAGGAGGAATGGGCCCAAAGGTGAAACGGAGCGTCTGCACCAGGTCGATGTGCCACATGACCAAAACTTGGTCCTCGTTCGAGTCGAAAACACGGCGCCCGGCCTATTTGCACATCCAACATGATCACAAATTCGCCGACCCCGTTCGGTGATATCGGTCTCGGACGATGAACGTGATCGCGAACGGAGCGGGGCCGGCGTGTTTCTGAGAGGGGCTCTGGGAAGCGTTGGGGTGATGTCGGTCAGCCGTCACATTGCCCAACACCTGCAAACAAGTGACAAAGTGTAATTGTATGTAATTGTTAATTTCTTGGTGGACATTTTTGTCCCGGACAAAGCGCTGCCCGGGATTTGGCCTCGGGCTTGACCGCCCCCTTGTCCTTATGGATTCGAGTGTGGAGCCGTTGTGTGGCCCGTGCGTATGAGACATGGCCATTGCCCAGGAACTTATCGAGTCACAGTAGTACCGATGTTTTTGAACATCGGCAAGCCAAACCACGGTTTCAAGAGTTGCTTTTGCTGCAGGATCTCCAAAACACAGTAAAAACCAATGTCTTTCAACCTCTCCAAGCAGAAAGCCAGGGTATTCAATTTCTTATTCGGAACCGAAAACGCAATACAGACCTAAATACGGACATTTTTGAACATCGCTAAGCCAACACAGACTGTATTTAACATCTCCTGGTTCCCCCAAACAGTGTAAATACCAATGCTTTTGAACATCTCCAAGCCAAAAGCCACTGTTTTGTCAATGTATTTTTGCAATAGGAGCCCGCAAGCAATGTAGGCACCAATGTTCTCTACAGTGTGTCTTACTTTTCTGGTGCCCACGGCATCGTTTTCAACGCAGCTTTGAGCATGTTCCAGGGTTCTTTTTGGATGGGTGGCCGCGGGCGCAACCAGCAGGGTCTGGCCCTGGTTTAGTGCACAGGACGCCACCGAAGGTGGTTTCTCTTTCTTCCTGTGTCTGGCCAGCGCAACAGCCACAAAAACAGCACCACCACCACAACAACCAACAACCACCACAACCATAGCCACAGCTACAGCCACAACACCACCAACAAGCACAAGCAACACCACCACCAGTCTCACCTGTTTGCTGCCTGCCACTGGGCCCCCTGCTGGCCGTTGGGCGCAAGCCCGCCATGACGAGAGCAGGCACAGTTGGAACATGGCACGGAAACTTCTCAGTGCCCATCTTAAGAAAAGATGTCTGAAATACACCCCTCCTGGTGCTTTGAAATCATCCAACTCGCTACATAGACCGTCAGACGGCTGAGACTGCTGAGACCGAGCTTTGGGGCTTCTGAAAAGAACCGGGACCTTCGAGGGTGCCTGGTTGTCTCGCGACTACTCGCTTAAAGTGCTTCAAGTCCAAAGTCCATTCGGCACACAAGGAATCTCACTTCGAGGATCAATGCTGTCACCAACCGATGCGTCGAGGAGACTCCGGAAAATCTTTTGGTTGAAATACCTCTGCGAGAAGTCTTCGCTGGACGTATCCACGGTGAACTCGGAAGCGGTCATCATAGGGTGAAAGTAAGCAGCGACAATGCACGTCTCAAGCGTCTTGACAGACCTGGCGACAGATCTTCCAACTTGGTTCGCCGTTGTTCGGTGGTTCACCAGGGTCTAAATCTCTAAACTGCAAGCGCCAGCCCTTCCTTTTGGAGTTGGACTTGAGAAAAGGGGGGCCTTTTGAACAGGTCACTGCTGCCCGGTTCTCGCGCCTCACAGCGAGCAGCAGGTCAAAGGCCACCCGCAAGCCAAATCCATGCAACCGATCTGCTGACAGGACCTCTAACACTTCAAAGCCCTCAGACTTCAGCGCGAGCAATGAGCAGGGCAACGCCAACTGCTGAGAGGCCATCGTAAAGCAGGTCACCTAAGAGACTTTGGACAAACACAGGGAGGGCAAGGTTCAATCCATGCTTTTTCGTTCCTTCGACTCCTTCGACCTTTATCTTTTTTGGAATCCGGTTTCCCTCTTCTTTGCTCAAGACCATTAGCCTTTGCCACAGGCTCGGTAGGTATGCCGACAGGTCGTTTTGGCTCATGCGATGCATCAAATCCAAAAGATTTTAAGCATATTTTAAGCTATTTGATAAATTGGCTTAGCATGGCTAGCTAGCGTGCTTCATCTAATTCTGTTCTCAATTCGATTGACTTTCCAATGCCAGCTGACCAAGTTGTTCTGCCTCATGTTGCCGAGAATAGGTGCCAGGAGCGGCGCAGCGCTCCGACCCCTTTGATCGCCGTCGGAGTCCCTTTCGTGCCATCCATGTGGCGGTGCCTCGCTGGGAACGAAAGATCCATCATTGAGCCCAAAGTAGCTCAAGCGTAGCAGGCCTTTCCTGAGAGCAAGGCGATGCAAGACAAGGGGTTGCTTATTGCAAAGGCTCAAGACAAGAACCTAAGTCAAATAGCAATGACCTCCAGCCTACTAGCAATGGCCTCCAACCTATAATAGAACTAAATAGTGTCACTGTATAAATAGAATCCAATGACAGTTCGAGCATGAAGAGTCTTTCCTGAGATGCATTAGGTTTCCTCGTGACATGAACTCTCAACGCGTGGATCGTCTCACTTCTCACCCTTGAGGACGTAACCAGTCATAAAAGCAACCCCCCAAAGAAACCGCTTCACGGTTCACACTCGTACCCAGCGTCTGGTAGTTGCATGTCATCACATACTTCCTCAGCCCGAGTGAGGTGATCGTTCGGCTATACCGACCGGGCGGGAAGCACATGAAACCGCTTCAGAGCTGGGCACTGTAGGAGCTGAACACGGTGGCATGTCGTTCGTGCGAAAGAAACCATATATGAAGATCGTCCAAAAGAACACATGTCATCACATAGGACCCAATCGTTAGACACATCTGGCGCGCAAAGCGCGCTACACGGAAAGTCGTCTTGTTCACCCAGCGTGCCGCTTTGGATGCCGGGTCTCCGGTGTCTCAAGGCACCCAGGTGTCCATCCCTGAAGCAAAGCCACAGCTCATCAGACCTGACCAATGCCCGGATCCGGAACGGATGGTGCTGAAGCTCAACATCTCAACGATTTCGCCATGAATATCAATTAATTACGACTGTGACTCCCCAATCAATCACCATATGCCAAGTTCTTCGGCGACTCCTGGGAATTGAATCAAAGGACAGTGTGAAACACCATCAGCTCCTCAATGCGTCCACTATTTATTTCCATCCGCATAACCACCAATACATCGCATACCACCAATAGGACGCCTTCGGATGAACTGATAAAACATGATAAACATCCACCAAAGTAGACTTTCCTGCCAATTCTCACTCTCTGAGCTTTGCTGGGCACCCGACCCTTCGGGGTTGGTCAAATCCTCACATTGGACGCCTTCTCTGGCACTCGCATGTGCCCAGTCTTGCTCCAGTTCTGCGTCAGATCCCCTCGTGACAAAGCTCTCCAAGACCCACTGCACCTTTGGTTGATAAGCTTTGATGGTGCAAGGGTTCAAGACCTGGTTCAGAACTTCTGGAAGCAAAAGGAGTTCGTTCCTGGGAAGGGCATCCTCTCTGGAAACTGTCATCAGTGAGAGGAACTGAAGGTCTGACGAGTCTTCCACTCCTGCATCCTTCAAGGAATCCTTTTCCTCCAGCACACTAGAGCCATGCAAGAGTTTCCCATTTACAGCCCAGGGTCTTGTTGGGCAAAGTTGAGAGGCAATCCTGGCTTTTAAGTCTTGAACCAAGTCCAGTGGTGAAATCACAAATTGCCCCAAGCTTTGCGCCGAGACGGCGATCGAGACCTCAACTGTCCAAGTTCCTTTTGGCTCGACCTCGGTCTTACTCACTTGCTGAGAGTGATCTTTCTCAGGAGCGGTTTGCTCAGTCTTGACTTCACTCCGCTCCACTTCTGTGGTAGCCCATCTCCGGTCCTCCCTCCTGTCCTCCTTCCTTTGCTCCGCATCCTTGTGCTTGGACAAATCACTCTGCTTCTTGCTCCCTCTGTCATCTTTTCCTTCAATCATGGTACAGCCTTGAGCCAAGTGCCAGGAGCGAAGCACCTGAAACATGACCACGGAGACCGATCGCAGGTCCTTTTGGCAGACCGGAGTGCGGATTTTCGTCCATTTTCTGAACCTGAAAGACGGGGGGTCGGACGCCTGGGAGGCCGAAGGTCGGATCTCTTTCTACTTTCCGAACCTGGGCAACTTGCGTGTTTTGTCAACATGCTGCGATGGTGGGCCATACATTTGCTGCAATGCCCGTTTTTCTTTTCTCTGGGCACTTATAATTCCCAGTTCCACCAGGTCTTCGATGGTGTCACATCTATCACAGCTTAGTTGGGTATGAGGGAATGAGCTCCCCTATTCAAGATGATTCCTTAGGGTCCAGCCACCCTCCTCATTTCTAGCTTTCGTGGCACCAATCCAAAAACGGTCTCTTTTTCCACACCCCCAGTGTCAGTAGAGACTCCATCTGACTCCGTGTCAGTTGGCTTCTCAAGGCAACAACGGACCCAGGAGACGGACGACCCGAGTTTGGAAGCCACGCGGCCCAGTTCCAAGCTAAAGAAGTTCCCAACTCGCATGGTCGGACATCCGTTTCGTGCGAAACCATGACACCTATAGGTCAAACTTGAGGCTCCCCCAACTTGGCTGAACCCTTTTGGCAGACCGCGTTTTCGGATTCCAAACTTCCAAATTATGATTCGGATTCCAAATAGGGAATCACTCTCTTGGAGTCTGGATCGACCAAGGCCCGGCCCGATTGGTGCGCAAACTCTCAATCAGTCCATCTCAGTCCCGCCGCTGGACTGAACGGAAGGCACGGTGCCATTGGAAGAATCATTTACGTTGGGTTGAAACTCGGGTTAATCACACTGGACTTTTTTAAAATCAGTTCAGGAATGTTCAGGATGATTTGGGGGTGCGTGTCAGGCATGGCGCATAGTTCACGCCGTTATTTAGATGGCTAGCTGTTGGCTTGCCATTTGCTCAGCCGTGCTATCACTCAATTTGAGTTGAAAGGACATGTGAGCCCTTTATATCCCATTCTCCATTCGATGTGTCAGAAGACCTCCCTCTTAAAAGGACCCCTCCTCGGACCCAGCTTGTTGAACGCCAATTCCACCCTCCTCGCGAGCCTCGGACCGTCTTCAATTCCTTTCGGATTGGCTTCGGATCCTCCATCTTCGTACCCTCGGGATGGACACCCTTCCGACCTTTGGGGACTCAATCTGGCGCTCGTCCTGAGCGGGAATCCGAAACGCTTTCGGCTCAGGAGCGTCTGAATCTGCATAGTGATGAGCTCCAACCTCGAAAGTATGGTGAACATCAAACGACATTCAAATGCCATGTCGGCCATGTACGCGGTGAGCTTTTGTTATCTTTTGTTCCTTCACCCGTTGTGATCCTTGAAAACCATGTCTTTTCGAAGGTCTTTAAGAAGAGCTAGACTTCAAAGTACACTAACGTGGAACGCATATATGTTACAATTGTTACGTACATAAACGATCATAAACGTAGCAAACACAACCTGTTACACATTCTGAGACGCATCACCCTTTCCTGGAAGTGGGACAAAAAAGAGGTCTCGATCGTCCCAAGTCCCCAGCACCAACTGCTTCAACCTCAGCCATTCTGGACCCAGACAGCGGCCGCGATAGTGGCCGCTGCGAGTGGCTTTCCCACGGCCGGAAGTGTGATCGTCATGACACGTGAGTGACGATTGAGTAATGAAAACACATTTTACACACAAATCACTTGGCAAGCTTTGAACTAAACCTAAAGATCCTCAAGCCGCAGGCGTTGGAGCTGCAGTTGCAACCCAGGAATCTGCCGCAAGACAATTTTCATGACATGGCAGGCTGCTGGATGTCATAAGACAAGGACAACGCACGCGGACAACGCGCTGGGCGCAGCTGCTGGGCGCACCTAAGGTGGGCCTAGCTTCAGTGTGAATTCTCACACCGGCGCCAGAAGGGCTTTTCGCCATCAAAGAAGTGCCCGGTGAAACACATTAACGTGCGGTTTTTCGACTGGTGCATCTGCCTGGAAACACCCGAGTTGCTTTCCGTGCCACCCGAAAGCCACGGTTTCGGTCGATGGAGGTTCGGTGGCTGTTGTTGAGCCCCCCAAATGATGGCAAACACTTTCAACAGTTGATGTCAGTTTGCATGTGTCTGAAGCATTTCCAGCTTGGCCCAACGCAAGCAAAGTGTTGGCAGAAGGGCACACTTAAAAGGTTAATTACCCTGGCTTACCTTCTTCTGGAAAACAAAATATTTAAACCAACAAAAGCCTGAAAAGGCAATCCCTGTTGACAAACAGGTGCTCAGGACGGTGCGCCAAATTCTTGAACACTCATGTTCCTTCGCGTACTGGAGCTTCTTGTTCTCTGTCTTGGGGTCCATGTAGGCTTTTGATACCGGATAGTTCTCGTGCCTCACTCGGCTCACGAGGGCTTTCAAGTCCTGTTCGTGCAGCTTGCCTCCGTAAGCCTTGAAGAAGTCGTTGTCGACTTGAAGCATGAAGAGTAAGCCTGTGCAATTCAAAATGATGTCAGTCTTCTGAGTGGCATCCAAAAATAAGAGTGGTGCACAAAAGTTGAAGGCAAAGGCGAAGGCAAATTTCGGGAGCAATACAAGGACCCAGCAAGCAAGTCGGCATTGGAGATTTCCAGTGAGGATTACAACATTCATGTCCCAACATTCTCGAAACTCTGTGGAAGCTTGAGCCACAAAGGCAAGGCTTGCACATCCGCATACAAACAAGAAGAAGCGTGTGCTGATCTCTTTGTCGGCATCAGCCCAAAAGTGTTCGGATCCAACGCCGATGAGCAAACCTAGTTGAATGATTGTCCCAAGGAACACATTCAAGGCGGCAAACAAGACTTTCAAGTACTTGTGATACCACTCTTCTTGCACTCTCATCTTCATGTCATCCCTCTCATCCTTCTCATCTTTCCTACCCTTTGGATTCTCCATCCATTTGTTCTTGATGAACAACTCCTGCAGTGCAGAGATGCACACGAAGTGGGGGTCGCCCTCATAACGATCCTTATAGTACTCCTCGATTTCGGCTTCAAGAACGTTGAACTCCTGAGCCGCATTCTGCCTTTTGGAGACATAGTTGTGCAAGTCCTCCAGAGTCTCGCACTCCTCACCTGGCGGCCCTGCTTTGATGGGTGCAAGGTTTTCATAGCCGCTTGATTCTTGACCGATGAGGTGCATGAGATGCGAGAGCCACGAGGGCGTCATCAGCGCCGCGGAATCAGAGGTTGACCGGCAAATATCTTTGAGCCCAAAGCTCAACGCGAAGCGCCGACAGCATTTGCTTCACGGCTTGACACTCTCTGGCCAATCGAGCGACACACATCGTGTGAGTCGAAACGAGTCGACCGTTGCCAACACCCACTCAGAGCCCCGGCGGAGCAAAAGCGGCATCGGCCTGACAAGGCCGGATTTCGGAAGCAGTTAACACTTTTGTACACTTTTGAACCTCTGGGTGTAGAAGCTGGTTCCGGAATACTTAACACCCAGAGGTTCAAGAACACTGAAAAAATAAGAACGTGCTGTTAAATATTCGCAGGGTTGTGCCACTGACGCTCGAGTGACTATGCCTAAATTCACGTGTCGCACTTGAAACAGAAAGCAAGAGCCAGTCTTCGTGAAGTAGGCGTTTTTCACCAACCAACTCGAACGACAAAAGGGCGGATCATCCACTTGCCCAACTGCTGTTTGCCAGCCAAAAGGACTTGAATTTGGAACATCGCTGGGCAAACAATCTCATCTAACCATCCCTGCCGATCGCATCCGGGCGATCTTCCCTCAGTTCGTCGCCGAAGTGCGCCGAAGTCCGCCTCGCCCCGTGTTTCATCGCTCCTTTCACCGGTGGTGGCGCTCCTTTCGAAGCGCCTGACGGCAACGGGAACACTGCGGAGACGAACCAACGGGTCCGTGCCGGCACGGAAAGCTTCGGCAGTGGCAAGGGGGGTCCCTCAGTTTGATCCAGTGCCAGTCTGCAATCCATCTAAAGCACACCACGACTCAAAATCTGCAAACAACGGCAAAAAAAGCGCCGCCGCCTTTCGGGAGAAGCTCTGGGCTACTCTTCAGCCTGGCGAAGCAACAAGGGAGGATCAAGATTAGGAAAACAAGATAAGCAACGGTCTTCGATCTACGAGCGGAAATCTGCAAACAGCAGAACTGGCCAAACATTCAAGTGGACGAGGAGATTTCGTGTCGAGAGCCTAAGAGCTGCTGAAAAACAGAAAAAAAGGTCACACTCCAACAAGTTCGCAGGACAACTGAACATGAACTCGCCAGTTCACAAAGCATTCTGTGGAAGAAACAACTCCTAAATAATATATACAGTACATATATGTATGTTACTGTTACATTATATTTTGAATATAGAATCATCCGACATCTAGCTATGTCTGGCAAGTCCACACAGTAGTCCACATAGAACCATGCAGGGATAGAGCTCAATCTGCCAAACGGAGGAAACGCTCTTGCTGCATTCGCCGAACATTCGCCGTGAATTTTTTTCACATCGAACAGGTATCACCTGATACTTCGGGCCACCTGATCTTGGATCAACACTGGCCGAATCTGGCGTTTCAAAAAGCTTGACTGATGGTTTCAGAGGCCAAATGTACCTCTGCCGTGGAGACGGCATCGGCTTCGCCGACGGTCTGTTTCTGTGCGCTGCTGCTGGTGCCGCGGTTCAACAGCTGAAGACTAAGATTCGAACTCTCTACAGGGGAAAAGGTGACGCTTGGGCGGTCGGCTGGGCCTGCCGAACTTTCTAAGACAGGTTCAGCATCGGTTTCTCGTTCAGAGGTGTGAGCTGGTCCCACCATGACCATCTTGGTACTCAAAAGCCTTACATCCCCATACAAGCGGTTACAAATTTGCCGGCTCCGGATCAACAGATCCACTTCTGAGCTCTCAGAGCAAATGAAAGGAGGTGCCACTTCAAGAAGGATTGCTTTGATCACTTGAGCGTAGGCAGTATGATCCACTCGGCAAGTGATTGAAGCACTGCGAAGCTCAGTGGAGTTTGGA